CTCTCTCTCTCTCTCTCTCTCTCTCTCTCTCTCTCTCTCTCTCTCTCTCTCTCTCTCTCTCTCGCTCGCTATACCGAGTACTGACCTGCGAAAGGTGGTGCCTTGATGCAGGTGCGGACGTGCTGAAGACGAAGCTGGAGCAATGACTACGAAGGTAAGTCTCAGGTAAGTCCTCAGGCCGCCATCACCATCTCTCCCTCCCTGCGCTGCTCTCCCCTATCAGCGCCCAATGCTGGAGACTAGTCCTATCGTCGACCACTACCGCGCTACTGCCGTCCGAAGTATGCCTCCTCAATCCTCTACTCCAGAATGAGGAACTGAGGCCAGACCCAGCTATATGTAGCGCTGGGTCGGCCTCAGCTGCTGAGTCCTGGCGCTCAAACTGAGGCTGGGCCTCAAAGTTTGGCGCCCAAACTGAGGCTGCTCCAGCGCCTACCGAAATGATGCGGCCTCAAAGTCAGGGCCTTGGCGCCAAAACGCGTGCCAGGGTCTATACTCAAAACGAGGCCTACAGGGCCTCTACCTGGTACCGGTCCTACTCGGCCTAAACTCGGCCTACCGACCCTGCGGACCCTGTTGAGGGTCGAAACGACGCAGACCCTACACCTACGGACCCCTAGTTTACCTGGTCGGGCCCTGCTGGGCCCGTGTGGTACTGAGTATGCCACGATCCCCCCTCCTTGAAAGACTCAGCTTACCTGCGAGGGCGAAGCTGTCTGTTAGAGGGAGGGACTGAAGTCCGGGTGGGAGGCTGTGCAGCTTCCGTGGCTAGCCGTTTTTTCTCATAATTGGCGTAGATATCTGGTGCGGAGGCTTGCAAAGCTGCCCAGGAAATCCATCGCGTGTCGTTGCGGTCGCACCACTTGAATGTGACCTTGTACTGCATTGGCCTGTTGCCGTGCTTGCGATGCGTGATGACGCGGTCGACTTCCTGATGACCATCCATGGAAGGAGGGTCCTGCGATCATTGGCCCGGGAAGTCGTCGCTCTTGGCTGGTGTATATGTGGCCAGCTTGGAGGCGTGGAAAACCAGGTGCATCGTGAGATGCAGTGGGATTTCAATCACAAAGGAGGGGCCATCGGGCTCATCGTCCGCGGCTGATGTGACGGGCCATGGTCCAAACCACTTTGGAAATAGCTTGTGGGATACATCTTGTTCAAATGCAAACTCCTTCGTGGAGACCCAAACAAGGTCGCCGAC